GGAAGTGATTCCACAACTTTACCACCAGTTTAAGGGCCCGGCGATCTACCCATTTGTTTATCAGTGAAACATAGGTCTTCAAGTACTCCACTGTAAGTTTCTTGGTCCGCCTCAGCCACGAACTTCTTTTGTTGATCCTACACTTTTCTCAAGTTAAAATATCAGTTAAGTGTTGATAGGGAAAATCGAATGAGTTTTCTCCTCACATGGACAGTGTGTTGGGATGGGTCTTTAAGATGGTCGTAAAATTCTCGAACCATTGTCGGCTCTACGACTTTAGGATGCCAAGTAAATTTCTCTTATTTATGTTTTCTATCCACATCCATCACTTCTGGTCCGAATAGTTCTTTTTTTTCCTATGGAAAAACAAAACCATCCTATAAGTGTACTTGACATTTTTTGAGGTTCTTCAACCATGCCTCAGCTTCAGCCATCTGGAAACGCTCAAATCCTGCTGTTGGGGCTGGATTTTTCTGTGATCTTTCCATGATAGTTGCTGTTACAGGGTTTGTCGTGGCTGCAAAGAAGGAGAAATATTGAAGGAAAATAAAGTGTAAGTTAGTTTTTCTGGAAAGATAATGGGTGGTTTAATCGGGGCAAATTGGTCAAAACACGAGGGAAAAAGATATGGCATTAATATCTCAATATTTGATTTGACATAAAGTGGGGAAATAATAACTTTCCCTTTTTACAGTTGCCGCCAAAACCTTCTTACTTTAAGGTTTCTATTCCTCTCATACGTAAGTTCTCACCCCAGGCTGCCATATGTTCCTTGCATGCTAATAATAAACATAAAGAACAAAAATAAAGTGAAACAGATAATTAGTGCATAAAATAACTTAATTTATTTATGTACAGGATTCAGATTTTCGTTGTCGAGACAACGAAAATTGTTTAAGTAAGTAAAGCAAACTCTTGGGCATCGTGTGATGTTGATGTCAGTTTATTGCGCATGACTGGTGCTCCTTTGTATTCCTTTAGTCTCTGGCCATTCACCTTGAAAATAGATCTATCATCTTGGTTCTTGATTTCTATTGCTCTGTTACTATGGACTTGGTGTACGATGAACAGTCCTGACCATCTTGATTTTAGCTTGCCTAAAAATAATTTAAGTCGTGAATTATAGAGCAACACTTGTTGTCCAAAATAAAATTGCCTTGGAAAAATTTTCTATCATGCCATCGTTTTGTTTTTTCTTTGTATAGGTGGGCATTTTCGTAGCTCTGAATTCATCCATTTCGTTTAGTTCCAAGAGTCTTCTTTCTCCAGCAAGCTAAGCATTCATGTTCAATTTCTTGATAGTCCAATAAGCTTTATGTTCAAGTTCCACAAGCAGGTGGCACTCTTTACCGTAGACGAGTTTGAATGGGGATTTTCCTAGCGGTGTCTTAAATGTTGTACGATAGGCCCATAATGCTTCATCTAGCTTTGGCGACCAGTCGTTTTGGCTTGGGTTGACCACTTTCTTAAGGATTTGTTTGATTTCCCGATTAGAGACTTCGGCCTGCCCATTAGTCTGGGGGTGATATGCCATGGCTATCCGATGTCGCACTTCATATCTTTTCAGCGCCTTGACAATTAATTTATTGTCAAAGTGTGTGCCTTTATCACTGATGATAGCTCGCGGTATTCGAAAACGTGTGAATATGTTCTTGTATAAGAATTTTAGCGCGATCTTGGAATCATTTTTAGGTGTTGCGATGGCTTACACCCACTTTGACACATAGTCTACTGCCAAGAGAATGTATAGATCACCAAAAGATGTGGGAAAGGGTCTCATGAAATCTATCCACCACACGTCGAAAAGTTAAACCTCCAGAATGTTTTTCCATGAAATCTCATGTCTCTTTGATATGTTCCCTATTTGTTGGCACCTATCACATGACTTGTAGAATTTGTGTGCATCTTTGAACAAGGTTGGCCAATAGAAATAGGATTGAAGAACCTTCGCCTTTGTTCTCATTCCACCAAAATGTCCTCCATACGTTGATGAGTGGCAATGAAGTAGAATTTCTTTGTGTTCTTCTTCTGGGACACATCTTCTGATTATTTGGTCTCCACATTGCTTGAATAGGAACGATTCATCCCAGTAATAGTGTCGCACATCATGTTTAAACTTTTTTCGGCCTTGGCTAGATAAATCTAGAGGTACAATACCACTAACAAGAAAGTTGACTATGTCAGCATACCACGGCACAACCGTGACAAATAAAATTTTCTCATCTGAGAAATCCACTTGGATATCTTTCATGTCATGACAACTAATTTTGTTTTCTAGTCTAGACAAGTGATCTGCTACTTGGTTTTTCGTACCCTTTCTATCCTTGACCTTAAATCAAACTATTGTAGTAATAATATTCATCTGATTAGCCTAGGCTTTGCATCTTTCTTATTGATCAAATATTTAATGGCAGAGTGATCCGTATGCACAATTACTTTAGTTCCTATTAGATATGGCCTAAACTTATTGAATGCAAATACTACTACAAGAAATTCTTTTTCAGTTGTGGTATAGTTTACTTGTGCATCATTAAGAGTACGGATAACATAGTAGATAACATGAAAGATTTTACTTTTTCATTACCCTAGCACTGCTCCAACTGCATAATCACTAGCATCGCACATGAGCTCGAAAGGTTCATTCCAGTCTGATGGAATAACAATTGGTGCTGATGAAAGTTTTTTCTTCAAATCTGTAAAAGCATTTAAACAATCATCATTAAATGCAAATGGTTGATTTTGTTGAAGCAAAAGACACAAAGTATTTGAGATTTGAGAAAAACCTTTTATTAACCGCCTGTAGAAGCCTGCATATCCAAGGAAACTGCATATGCCTTTCACGTTGGTGGGTGGAGGTAGATTTTCAATTACTTCCACCTTGGCTCTATCGACTTCAATGCCTTGACATAAAATTGGAGGCAATGTCTTTTAATTTGGAAGGTGGACAAGATAGTATCCTAACTAAGGAGGATGTCAATCTTCATTAATCTTTCAAATTAAAAGGACATCATTTTTAAAATAAATTCGAGTGAATCGAGTCATTTTCTAAATCAAATCATTTTTAACAAATTTCACTCAATTCAAAATAAATTCGAATGAACAAAAGGATAATAATTTAAATGTATGTCCGACTTTACAATTTTCAATGTTTAGAATCCCTTAGGTACCAATTTTGGGCATTGCGAGGTGATTACCCTTCTCCACTCGTAATTGACTCCCAAATTCTTAAAAATAAATTTTTGGTAAAACATGGATCATTTTTTTCTTTTAAATGATTTTTTAAAAAAACTTTATATAAAAAAGATGTTTTTTGATATTCGACTCGAAACAAAATTGTTTTGAAACCCGAATCTAACCACCTTTTTCAAATTAAAAATTTTAAGTCTAATTTGAAATTTTTTTAAGTCTAACACTCCTGCTCATTGCGAGCTTAAGGGATGTTACGACATATTTCTACATTTACCACCGAAAAGAATGCTAAAATTGATAAGACTTCCACATATATCTTGGAAATGGGAAGTTGATAGTCTTACTTCCACGCAGAGATTTAAATAGAAGCTATTATATAGTGGTTATGGTGTCATCCAAAATCATTATTATATGATTGTGATATTTACAATTATTATAGTATTACTCGTTATGACCGCAATCACGATAAATATAATACAATTAAAAGCGCGGCCTCAATTGTAAAATAAATCTCTATTTCTACGTACATATAACTTAGGAGTTTCATAATTTTTTATGTTCCTTTTGGAACAGTACTTGGGTGTCAACAAAAGGTGGGATAATAGAACATAAATATGTGATTAGTTTAATTCAGTAGTTGCTTGTCAATTTCAATACCTGTTTCACCAGTATTTAGGTGTCTAAAATCAATTGCTTAAATTAGATGGGTTATGGTTGATGGAGATGTCAAATTATAATGCAAAACACTGGTAATTGTAGCTCAATTTCTTTATTTTAGAGCATAAAATGTACAATTACTCTGGATTGATTTTTTATATTATAAAGACAGACGAGTTTATTTGTCATCATTGGTGAAGGTGAGAATAGTTTGAGAGAATAAGAAAAAAATAAGAAAAATGAATATATTTTTTAAAGAAAAATAACATTATACTCCAGGTATTATCTGAAATATTAATTATTTTTATTAATATATCACAATATTAATATAACAGAATTTAATAATTTAATAATCATTTTATTATAAACCAATAATATTAGTTAATATAATGTATATTTCAAATTTCAGTAATATAAACATGAATTTATTAAAATATTAATGACCGTGTAGTTTATTTACTTTAACTTTTTAATGCAAGTGAAAGAATTAGGGTGATTATCGAGCGAGTCGATCGCAAGTTGGATAATGCTCAACTCGTGTTTGTTAAAAAATTTTGTTGTTCGAATCGACTCATTGCTCGTTGAGCTCATTAAATTTTTGCTCGGCTCGTGATCGTTAAAAACACTCGCTGCTCGTTAAGCTCATTACTCGTTAATCTCATTGCTCGTTAATCTCATTACTCATTGCTCGCCTCGTTGCTCGTTAAACTCACTAAATTTTTTACTTTATCTTTTTAACTATAGGTAAAATTTACTAATTCTATATAAAGCTAATATAAACATAAATTAATAAATTTAATCAAAAAAATATCAAAAGAGAGTATGAAGAAACTTCAAAATCTAAACTTTAAAGCAACAATCCACAGAGACATTAAAATAATAATTAAAGTTTGATTTTGGGTGTAATAAAATAATTATTATTAATTAATAATTTAGTATTTTTTGTTATTTATTAAAAAACTAATAAATTAGTAATTTATCATCTTTTTTATTATCTATTAGTAAATTATTAATTTTTTAAATGAAATAATTTTTTAAGATAATCACTAAAAAATTGTAAAATAAATTAATGAGTTGCTCGCGAACTTATCGAGTCAAGTTTTTGCTAGACTCAACTCGTTAAGATCTCGAGTCAAATTCGAGTTCAAGTCGACACAACCTTACTTGAACAGGATCTGTTCTATAGGCTCGTACCTCTGTGTCCTTGAGTTCTAAGGAGACAGGATTTCTAGTCTGGTTGATGAACCGAGACTGTGTGATCAGAATGTGACTAATGGCCTGCCTTCCTCTTCAGAGGTTGCTTTGGCTGCAGGGGATCGTTCTCAGTCAGCTTGAACCTGGCTGGGATGATTACACAGTTGTCTGACAGACTAAACAAATATTTATTTTGTTATTTTTATCCTGAAAGCAGCTGTTGATGCCATGGATTAAATAGACTCAAAACTAACCCTTTCTGCAGAAAAAACAGGTGAGATTTGTACAGATTCTTCATGTTTCTGTATTTAATTAATAGTATATGTTTGCTACTGTAATTAACTGCTATGAGTGATATCTTTCCATGAAAAGTGGATTGCACCATGCAACAATCATGTATAAATACGGGCAAATGCACACAAGTGATATAGGCAATGGTAAAAAGGTCGGCAAGATGGGGATTCAGCTTCGAATTTCCGAGCCAAGCTCCTTGACTGATCGAGTTGTCGGAAATAATGTCGCCGGCTGTTTGGTAACTGCAACCAAAATATCTGCATAACCGACCACCCCAACTAAAACATCCTCATTTTCGTCTTCGGTCACCCACACGTGTTGCCCTGTGAGATAACATTTGAGCCATCACGGCAGCAAACGAGCTCGTGGCATTACGTGTCAAAGGTGCATTTCTGCCCCTATAAATGCTCCTCCCAACACTGAAACCTGAGCTCACTGGGTTCAACTCAATGCTTCTACTACTTAACTTCATTGGCTTCACCGATCCAACTTGGGCTGGTGAATCAACAAAAATGTCAGGAAACAACGGTGAACTTACATTATCCTCAATCCCCATAACGAATCGTCTGGCCGAGAGGTTGGCTAAAGCCCATCCTGAAGCTAAGTAATCACATTTCCATAGTTCTGAAACCGATATTTCTCCTAATATTCTATGTTGACCATCTGGTGTAATCTCAACAACATCAACTGCAATAGGATCATCACCAAGATGTTAGGGACATACTGGGTGGGAGACTTCAATAAAGCTGTAGTTTAGGTTAATGGCTCCGAGTGAAGAAATAGAGGCGAGGGGGAGCGGAGCTAGAGCACCAAGGCAACCGATTAGGAAACGGATCATGTCTTCTCTTGACAGACAGCAAAACTTGTCACGCATGTAGGCGGAGGTCAAGGTGGACGAAGAGCGGGTGTTGGCATTGACAATGAGGCTCTTGCTGCTACCATTTTCAATGTTCTAGAGCCACTTCCCGTTATAAAGAATTGAGAATCTCTCGCTCACGCCTCTCCAAACCTTGCTCATCGGAACAAGAAGTCGCCTCACACCCTGCTTCATCATCTCCAGTGCATCTATCAACCTAGTCCAACAAAGAATTAACAATGCCTTCACAGAATAATAAGAGCAGTGGGATGTAACCAAGATAAATGAACATATATAATGACTTTTTTAAGACAACTAGAATCACTATATATTCTATTCTTAGTGGGGAAACAATTTGGAGTTTCTGTTTCCAGAAACTGTTGCTAATATATCGTTACTATGAACATTTCTTGTGAACACCTGTAACAACAAGCATAACAAGGATGTTCACTCTAGGGTGTAAATGAACCGAGCTTGAACAATCAACGCTATGATTCATGTTCATTTATTTATTTTTGAAGATGTTCATGTTCGGTTTGTGTTGTGTTGTGTTTAAATTTTTAGTATTGTGCTCATTAATTTATTTTTGTAGGTGTTCATGTTCGTTCGTTTAACGTTCACAAACATATTCATTTAGCGTTCGTATGTATGTTCATTTAACATTCGTTTAATGTTTGACAACTAATACTCTCTTTTTACCCTTTATTTGCAAGGCAAAAAATGGTGAAATTATACCAATAGTCCTTAACTTTCTTAGGGTTCACAGTTTAAACTCCAAAGTTCACATTATGTTTAATTTATTATCTATCTTCACCAATATTTAAAATGTAAAAAATAAAAGGAAAAGAACCCAGAGTAAACAAGATTATAAACAAGTAGATAAATGAACTTATAAATGAATTGATAAACGAGTCAATAAACAAGATTATTCGTGAACATAAACGAACCAAACACACCTATGTTAGTGTTCTTCATTTACTAAATGAACAGTAAAAATTTTATTAATGGTGAATCCACATGTATCTAAGGGTGGGCACTTGTCTGCCCTGAAATCCAAATTTTCTTCTATTATTTACCTATTTTATTAATGGTGCCCACCCTAAAATTTTAATTGTTCTCACCTCATTCAAAAATTGTGTTATTAACATATGTGTGCCCACCCTAAGAAATATCTCTGGATCTGCCACTGTAAATGAGTATACAAATTTTGTTCATACTCATTTATTTGGCTTACTAAACGAATGTTATACAAACGGTTCACGAATAATTCATCGAACGCTATGTTGATTTATACCCTAATTCACTCGCACACAATCGAATAGCCTACTATAAACAGGAATAAAATCTGATTTTCCTAATGAACCAACCAAATACTCATCAATTTACTAGCGACAATATTGGCTTTAATAATAAGGACCAATAGAACCGAAAATTTGACATAGAAAACACAGTAAATACATATGGTAAACAAGGCATGCTACTGCAATCTGCAATCATCTATTCAATATTGGCCTTTATAGTAATGACCAAAAAAATATAAGTTATAAGAGTAGAATGTCTAAAATGAAATGTTCCTAGAACAAGTTGCATGGCTGCTTCTAAAGTTTCTAAAGTTAAAAGGTTGGAACTAGGGATGGACCGAGAAGGTACTTGGGCTGCGGTCGTATCCTTTAAAAATTTTAAATTTTCTTATATTTTATGTATTTTATTTGTATGTTTTATCGATTATTTAATTTTGCACCTCGTACACCTAAATTTTTAATATAATTTCTGAATTCGCGCCCATGACATAAATTCTTGCGTCCGTCTAAGTTGGAACCAAAATAAGTAATAAAGCAATGAAGTTACCTGGTGGCAGGATCAATAACTTTTAAGAGAGCATTATTAGGGACAACAACATCGGAAACTTTAGTTTTCATAGCTTTTTCCTGATCTTCCAAGCACTGAGATTTAGCTAAAAAGGAGACAATATCAAGTGAAGTTAAAATACCAAAAAAATCTTTGTTGTCTCATCTCATTGTTCTCCATCATTCCCACGTTAGATCTTCTTCTCCAAACTGGTATCCCACACTAAGTTGACTCTTCTATTGCCCTTATTACTGATTCCACCGCTCTGTTTCACAGAATTCAATCAATTCTGGCTTCCCCACCGTCAGATCACCCACCACATAGTACACAAACACAGATGCCATTCCTTCAATCCTCTGATCAACCAAACAGAATATTACAACAACAACAAAAGGCAACTGTTCACTAGAAGATAATGGGTTTTCTATAAAATCTGTAGAAGTTCCATTTACAAGATAAAAGCTGTCAAAAAGGGTTTTCCTTTTATTGCCACAGATTTTCTTCTTATATTCGACTTAGATATTAAAGAAAATCTGGGTTTTATTCGGTGAAAAAAGGAAAGTGAGGAGGTAGAATCATAAAAGGGAACGGAGGTGAATGCCGCTGGCAATGGGTAATGTATAAAGGATCAGAAGGAAGTAAAGATTTGGTGCCATAGAGGAATAAGGAAAGAGTCGAAATAATTGAAACAAAATTTGACATGGATTTTAACATGGTGGATGAGATTGAGACAAGGACATAAAAAAATATGTTAATTATTTGAGAGAGCCGGGAAGGTGGTGGGGTGGCCAAGCCAGGTGGGGCTTTTGGGATGTTGCAAGTTTGACAAAACTAAAACATTTTTTTAAACCAAGTTAATTTTAGGGTGAAGTACACTTGACTATGGACGGATATTTTAATTTTTCTAATCATCAACAACAACAAAACCCCATTCCTATATGCAATGGGGTAAGGGGAGGTAGGGTAGTAGGCTGCCCTCAACGCTAGGTTGAGAGCAGCTTCCGTGGAAGACCTCTGGCAGTCAGAAAATTAAAAATAAAGATAAAATGCAATGCATGTATAAATAAATAAATACATAGTTGAACAATCTTCATATGCAGTCTACATATGTGCGTCTGTAATGGGAAGTAATCCCTATAAATAAATCCCTGCGTAAAAAGCTCTGCATATAGACAGAAACGTAAGACCCGACTAAAATTAAAAAGAGGAAACATGAAGAGAATGATACACGGAAGTCAATGATAGCAAGCAACGAGAAGGAATAAAGTCAAATGGGTTAAAACCTAAACTAAGGCAACACTTCTCCGCTACCCTAGTTCTAAGCCTTCATAAATTTCAATGACAGAAATGTATAAAAAGTAGAAGTCATGGAAATTTCTACAAAGGCATTAAAAGAAGACAGAGATGATACACCCTATGGATGTGACCCGCACTACTCGGCTACCCTGGTCTTAAGTCTCCATACTTTCCTATCAGAGGTCATGTCCTCGGCAAGGGCTAAATCCTTCAAATAAGATCTCAAGCAGTGTTCCCACTTCCGCCTTTGTCGTCCTCTCCTTCTGGCACCGTCGACTGTAATCGACTCTACCCTCCTGACTGCTAAGGACATGCCCAAACCACTGTAGTCTTTCCTCCCTCAATTTTTTGGATACAGGCACCACCCCCAAGGACATCCTAATAGCAGAGTTTGGTGTCATGTCCCACAGAGTCCTATCACATGCCCATCGAAGCATTCTCATTTATGCGGCCTCCATCCTCCTTACGTGATCCTTCTTGATTACCCAACATTTTTATCCATACAGCAGCGCTGGTCTTATTGCCATTCTATAAAATTTTCCCTTAAGTTTTAGAGGAACCTTCTTGTCACACAAAAACTCCGGTAACAACCCTCCACTTTAGCCATCCCTCCTTTATAGGGCGTGTAACGTCATCATCCACACCCCATCTTTATGTATCATAGACCCTAGGTACTTGAAACAATCCTTTGAGGGGAGGACGTGTCTTTCTACGCATACCTCTACATCTTCATCGTTTGGTTCCCACTGAAGTTTGAACATAAATACTCTTTCATTGCAATATTGATCCTTAGACCTTTTTCTTCCAAAGCAGTCTTCAGGTAGCCAGTCTACTATTTAGCTCAGTTCTTGTTTCAGCAACTAGGACAATGTCGTTAGCGAAAA